CATTCACACTTTGCATACACCCAGGTCAAAGGATAAAACAAAAATCATTCCCCTACCTTGTGTCTATGTAACAAATGTCACCACAGCTCCAGGGTCTCTGGGGAGCTCCTGGCTACCCCTTTCCTTTGAGTTACTTTGAATCCAGCAGAAGCCTTTTTAATAAAGTAGTTTATTCTAAAGTATAGATTGTTTCATCTGAGCATCTGGGGTAATTCTAGTGGTTTCTAATGAATGTTTGAATTCTTCCCACTCTCTGTGCACTGACTGAAGCTCAATGCTAGAGGGAGAGGAGGGGAATAGCAAGAAATCACATGATGTTATTGACATGAAGAGACAAAAACAAGAATTCAACATTCCTTTTATGCAACACAATGGTGATTTCTGCCAAGTCGTCCGCTTCTCACACAGCTGGTTGGAACGGAGTCGCAAGAGAGTTTTGCGAGGTGGTGATTTTTTTTGGAACCTCTCCCAGCAACCAAAAGCTTGGTCCAAGCAACAGGGAGAGAGATCATGGTTTGGGATCATTTAATTGTGCATTTCTTTGTATTCAAATGCATCTTGGTGTTGCAAGTCGAACCCTGGTTTATAATAACCCTGTGAGTTTAGTGTATCTTTAACTCTGGATTTCTGAGTTTTCTCATATTTGCTTAGTAGTTACCTATTAACTATTTGTTTCAATAACTGAGGGCTTAGTGAAACTGCCCACTGCAACTATAAAGTTAACTGTGAAGGAGACAGCTTTCTTAAGAGTTAGTCCAAGTCTGTTGGTAGAACTTTTGCCATTCTGAGAACCAAGAAAATAATAATTAATAATAAAGAAAAATATGATCTTGTCCTTCAAGTGCAAGCTGCATGGCTCTGACCTGCCTCTGCCAATAACCATACAATGCAGAGGAATAATTAATTTAAAAAGAAATATCCGTGAGCAATTTTTCCTCTGGTAAGTGGGGAACAAAGTAGAAATGTACCACACATACAGATAGTAGTTGTGCCACTGAATGTGGGGCTTTTCTTATATGCTAACAGTCTGTATTACGATAGAGTGTCTGCACTAAAATAAATTTTGAGAGATCATTTCCCTACAAACCCTACATTTTGTTTATTAGAACATTTTTCAAATAAACTTTTGGTGTTCAGTTCCTGGGGTTTAGTCTTGTATGCAATTTTTTTAAAAGTTAATTTAAAACTCAAAACAAGAACAAAGCCAAACAAAACCTCTCCTTTAATAGGCTCCAACTTCATACAAAAATTTTCTATTCAGAAACGAGATAATGAATAAAGAAAGGCACTAAGAAAAGCAGTCACTGAGGGATGACAGGGGGAGTCCCAGCCACATTGAGGCTTGACAGGGGGCTTATCACTGTCCATTTTGTCACTGCAGAGGAGGAGGGGAAGGAAAAAGAGGGAGCTAGCACAGGTATGAACATCCAAGCTGGGAACTGTATCTCCCAGCCACTGTGCAGACATACCCTCAAAGAGCTCTCTCCCAGAATGGCACAGTGGGAGAATTATCTCTGAGAGTCCATCCCTACAGTGCATAGAGCTGGGAGGGACCAGAAGGTGGTGAAGGAAAGTGTTTCTGGAGGAAAAGGGCAGGCTGTGTCTCACTACTACATCACAGTCGGCAGGCTTAGAAAATGTTGCGACCTGCGAGTGTTCTATTGACTTCCCAGGCCGTCTTGTTCGAACGTTGGTTCAGATAATGGGCTTGTGCGATTTGGGTCACTCACTTCTGCACATCTGGAGGCCTGGTGGTAACTGGCATTTGTGTGGATATGCAGAGAGGGTGCTGCAAACCTCCTCTTCCCTTTCCTCACCCTCCGCAAAGGCCAGTCACAATCACACTCCCTCCCTTGGCATCCCAGGGTGGCACCTTGCCCAAAAGGTTGCAGGGAGGGGCAGGGTCTTTCCTGGTCTTCCTCCTCTCTTGCTCCAGATCAGCCCATGCAATGAACCAGGATCTTCAAGAAGAGCAGGGTGCAGCTTATGTATTCCCACCTACAACTCAGACTCAGTTTGTTTGACTGGCACAGAGGGGCCCTGCCATGGCCCTAATGCAGGGGCTACATGGAATATTTTGGCCTTTGGAATTTTGTTCCAGTTTTATCACTTCAATTCGATTGAGATGCATTATGTAAAATTCCAGTTGTTCTCTGCCATGACACATTGCCCTGGTGTAAGCTCTTCCACTAACGGCATTTTTTAAATTACAAAAATATTGCATGGGGGACTATTTCATTGTGTAGTCAAAATGGGGGGGGGGGGTTTGACAGCAATTTCTAAGTAAAATTAAGCCTCACTCATGATCTCAGCTAGAACTCTCCAATATCAGGACTTTTTTTTTCAGCAGCAGCTTGACAGTTTATCCATCTGTAGAGCTGGCTTAGGGCTTGGCTACACTGGCACTTTACAGCTCTGCAACTTTCTCACTCAGGGGTGTGAAAAAACACCCCCCTGAGCGCAGCGAGTTACAGCGCTGTAAAGCGCCAGTTTAAACAGTGCCCCAGCACTGGGAGCCGTGCTTCCAGCGCTGTAAGCTAATCCCCTCGTGGAGGTGGAGTACCTGCAGCGCTGGGAGAGCGCCAGGACCACACTCGCACTTCAAAGCGCTGCTGCGGGAGCGCTCCCGCAGCAGCGCTTTGAAGTTTCGAGTGTAGCCAAGGCCTTACTTAGGCTATGTCGGCACTACAAAGTTCAAAGTTGATTTAAGTTACATCGATGTACAGCCACCACTGTAATTAAACCGCTGTTGCCAGGGCCGACTTCAGGGTTTTGGGCACCCCAAGCAGCCAAACAAAAAAAACAAAACAAAACAAAAAAGCCGTGATCGCGATCTGTGGCGGTAATTCGGCGGGAGGTCCTTCGCTCCGAGAGGGAGTGAGGGACCATCCGCCGAATTGCCGCCGAACAGCTGGACGTGCCGCCCCTCTCCGAAGTGGCCGCCCCAAGCACCTGCTTGGTAAGCTGGTGCCTGGAGCCGGCCCTGGCTGTTGCATGTCCACACCATGCTTCGTGTGTCAGCCGAGCACATCCACAGTAGCAACTCTTGCAATGGCACAGCAGTCCCCAAATCCCCAGCCCTGCCTTCTCCCCACAGGCTCTCAAGCCTCGGAGGGAGGGGGAGCAGCGGTGCGCGAAACGGCTGTTTCGCACCCGCGGCCACTCGGGATCTCCCCCTCCCTCCCAGGTTTGAGAGCCTGGGAGGGAGGGGGAGACCCTGAGCGGCCTCGGCACGCGAAACACTTGTTTCGCGCGCCAGCAGCAGCGGAGGTGAGCTAGGGCGGCCGGGGCACATTTGTAGGGGCGGCATTCTGGCGCCAGCCATGCCGCCCCTAAAAATGTGCCGCCCCAAGCACCAGCTTGTTTTGCTGGTGCCTAGAGCCGGCCCTGCTCTTCAGCATTGTGCTGTGTGTTATGAGCACAAGGCTGTAAGAGGAGCTCAATGTGGGGGCTATTCACCATCACCCTCAGGGCCGGCTTTAGCAAGAGCGGGGCCCGAGTTCCTGGGGGCGGGGCTTG